AATGCCTTCAGGGCACTTTTGGCCAGCTGGAGAGGTGTGAGGTTCGAACTCCAGCAACCTGAGGCTGACAGCTTTGTGGAAGCAGCCACTTAGAGGCCTGAGCTACGGCCAGGCCCCCCAAAATAGTTTTTTTTTTTTTTTTTAAAAATCATCACCATAAAATACAAAAAAAACCCCCAAAAACAGTAGCAAATGGCGAGGCTATGGAACAAATGTAACTGTCATCACTTTGAAAAGTTAAAAACAAAACAAAAACAACCCTGTCTCAAAAAACCAAGTCTACCTAGGACAGATGAAACATATCTACACAAGGACTTGCGTACGACAGCAGTGCTGTTCTCTGATCCCAGGATGGAGATGGTCCAGCTTCCACCAGGTGGACAAGGCGCAGAGCATCACTCAGCCACAACACAGAACGAGGCAGCAACATAGGATGCAGCACGGGTGAGCCTAATAGCGTCACGCTCAGGGACAGGCGTAGGACCTAGACTGAGTGACCAGTGCGGGGTGGCGGTGACGGTGGAGTAAAGACAAACCCTGACAGATCTGCTGCTGTGAGCGAGGCTGTGCCAGTGCTTTATGCTCAGAAATCACTGACACATCTGTCTGGGGAAGAGGTGCAGGGTACGGGGACACGCTTGTTAATACTTTGCGCTCCATTTGCCACACTTCCAAAAAATGATTCCAGCCAAGACAGAGAAGATGAAGTAGAGGGGAAAAAAAGGTAACATAGAACAGCATTGAAAATAGTAACCTTGTAGGAAAAAATATGAGACCTAAAAAAATTGACAGCTACAAAATCCCACTGAGGGAAACTAAAGACTTGCAGAAAAGAAATGATGAGTGTCTGTGAGACACAGGCCAATGCCAAGGCAGTGGTCAGGACACAGACTTCTTGCCTTGGTTTAGAAACCAACGACTAGAAAGCAAATGAAAAGTGTGTGTGTACATACACACACACACACACACAATAGATTGTTAGGTTTTTTGCTTTTTGGTGGAACCGGGGATTGAACTCAGGCCATTGCACTTGCCAGGGAAGCGCTTATTCCACTGAGCCATCTCCTCGGTCCCTACACAATAGATTGTTAATCATAAAGGATAAGCTTGAGTCATCCATAGGAAAATGGATATTGAGACAATACTGAGATAAATTGAACACATAAAGTTAAACATCACATGGTTTCTCTAATATGAGAAACCCAAAATATAATTTAAAAACGAGGAACACTCTAGAGATGAGAAGGGCGTCTGGAGTAGGAAGTAAAGAGGAAGGTAGAGGGATAGGACTTGTACATATACTGATTCCTCAAGATGACTAATTACTACATATCACAGGCATATACTATACTGATCAACAACAGAAAAACCAATGGCTGCCTCCACAAAGTATGTGGAAATACAAGTGACCAGGAACCAGGCTGCTCATAGAGGAAGCCGAGTACCTGCCCCACCAGCCATCAAAACGTACAGTCCCCATAACACGTAGGTAGGGCCTGAGGGAATGACCAGAGGCCAGAGAGCTGGCCACAGGCGGACTCCTGAGCCGGGAGGAGCTGCGATGGCCACACAGGTGAGCAGGGCAGAGGGAGTCACATTTCAGATGCGAGAACCAACCCACTGGGAGCAGGTGAGAGAGTGGGCTGCCGAAAAGTAAAAAAGTGTCTGCAGGACACCTCAGAAGGACACACCTCAGTCTACATGCAAACAGGACTCAGAACCGAGAGTCTAGCCAGCTGCACTACATAGGAAATTATAAACTTGGGCACTTTAGCTATAGTGGTTGGTGGGAATGAATATACCATCTGAGATCACTTTAAAACTAGAAACCAAAATCAGGATAAAAAGGCCAACAGTGCAAGACACACTCAAAACCCAGCGAATGGGTCCTGCCCAAGCACTTCTGACATCTCCCGGATCAGACTAAAGGGCAGCCTGAGGGAAACAAGCAAGAGACAGAGAAGCTGTAGGGTCTGGAGGCTTACCCACATCTGACTCCACAGAATTGGACTTGGGGTGCATGGGAAGAGATCCAGGGCCCTCTCCTCCCATAGTAAAATGACAGCAGCACCCACTCTCCTTCCAGTCCACCCAGGACACGAGGGGGCGCATCTTTACTCCAGCCTTGCTGGTTCCCAGAAGAGGCTGTGGCCATGGCCTCACAGCCTGCTGAGGCCGCACTTTGCTGAGTAAACTGCTCTGTGGCTCTGGGTGTGGACTTTCTCCCTGTGGATCTATAATTTCTCAGAACAGAGGTTGAGGAATGACCTGGAAAACAGCCCAGACGTGGGAAGCATGACGGAGTCATGGCTCCTGCTACCTCTGTCTCTCCAGGGGCTGTTCAAGAATCCCCCAGACCTCCATGTGCCTGCTTCTCCTTAGATCTGGTCTTGCATCTGACAGTCCCTTCTATGCACATAAGTCTATGTCCCCACCACCCAAACCAAGGCAGACAGCTGGAGAATCCATTGGGGTCCAGAATGAGCAGCTGGATCCCAGAGGAGGTGTGCAATGGGCTGGCAAACCCCACAGCAGCAGCTTCCTGCCCTCCCCCCCGCCCCTGTGGCCTCTAACCAGACCATGAATCAGCCAGGTCCCTGTAGTCTCTGCACACAAAACAGGGTGATGAAGCAGTGGTCAGGCCCTTGCCAGCCTTGGAGGCAGTGCAGAGCAGCTGTGGGCCCCAGTGCCCGGCCTGCAGCCTCTCTCCCTGCAGGACAGGGCAGGAAAAGCAAACAACGAGGTGGCCAGTGGCCCTGCCAGGTGTTCTTAGAAGAGGCCTCAGGGGAGGGGCTGTGAACAGACATCAGCTGACCTTGGGGTCACGGGAGGGGCCAAGGCTGGGCTTGGGCCCGGCTGGAGGCAGATCCTACTTGGGCTGTTAGGAAACCCCAGTGCTGGTGGGCAGCGTGCCGTGCCGCAGACAGGCGGGGCATCAGGGAACTAGGTGGCACCTGCTTAACCCCAACACAGCCATCAGCTCAGTCTGGGGGTGAGTGGTGGGACCTCCAAGACCCCAGGAGCTACCCAAAGATTCCCCCTTCCTGGGGTTGGAGTGAGTGGGACATTGGGGTCCTCCAAACCTGCTATGAGCACTGGTTCCTTGAAGGTTACTCAGAGAAGGGGGCCCCTGACCCCACCCACTCAGGTCCCCTATAGGGACATAGCAGTGTGGGGGGGTGTCCATGGCCTCAGAGCCGTGCCTCAGTCCACCTCATGTCCCAAAGGAGACTTTGAGGGGGACAAGGGACTCTAGCCATTTCAATATACCATCTGTACCCAAGGGACTTGTGCTGATACTGGCCACCCGGCACGAGGGAGTTAATGGAGCTGAGACCTCGGGGCAGGGCCAACCGACAGCTGCCCAACAGCAGGGAAGCCAGAGGGCAGGAGCAGCCAGCCCACCAGACCGCCCTTGCGCACTCTGCATGCGGGATGGCCCTGAGGAAAGGTGAGGCACCCAGGTGTCCCCTGCCACTTACCTTGGGGCCAGTAAGCTACTTAGACAAGGGCTGGGCAGGCCAGGGGAGGTGGGGCGGTGTCAGCCCTGGGTGGGCTGGCGGGGAACATGGTAGGCCTGGCACCAGAGGGTCTCTACTCTTTCCTGGTGGTGGCACAGGGCGGGCAGAGCAGGTAAGACAAGCACTCAGCCCCTGGGCAGTATGCGGTACAGGGATGGGGCAAGGGGATCCTCATATTCCACAGCACTGATCTTGCTTGGGACGGTCTAACAGGCTGGAGGTTGCCGCCCTTGCTGCCTGTTCTTTTGGCCCTGGCACTCACTCTTCAACCGTCTCTTTGGGCGCCATCTTGATGCCTGGGCTGGCTACCAGCACATCAACATTCCAGGACCATTTCCATCCTGTGTCAAGCAGAGGATGGGTGCAGCACACCCGTCTGGCCCTGGAACTCTGGGAGCCCTCAGGGCAGGGACACAATATTACAAAGGAGTTCTGGGCACTTGTTGGGGGGCTGCCAGGCCAGTCAGTGGGGCCTGATGCCAGCCGAGATGGTCTAGGGTCAACATCTGTCCCAAGGTCTGTGTCCCACAATATTACCAGCATGGAATGCAGGCTGGATAGCAGGTGGGGAGTGCCCCCAATCCGGGGTCTTCAGGGGTAGGGACTTGTTTAGGAGCAACAAACAGATTCCCTATCCGATCTTTTCCAGAGTATTCTGAAAATGGCCAGATATTGGCCAATGGCTTGTTTTTTCCCCCTCTCTTCCAGGCCAGTGTGGAACCTGACCTGGCCTGAGCTTTTGTCTCAAGGGACACAGATGGCTAAAAGGCTGTAGCCAGGGCTGTGGAGCACCTTAGCCCTCACAGCCTGGGTGAAGTGGGGAACGAGGCTGTGCTCCCACAGTGGGGCAGGAATGGCCATGTACCGGCCCATGCAACGGGGGTTATAATGCGGCCAGTTCCCACTGTCCTGCCGGGCTTTTGCCTGAGACTGTAAGTCTCAGTTCACACATGACCTTCTTCTTGCTATAGCCGAGGCCTGGGAAGTCTGAGGTCTGCTCACATCCTGGTACCTGCTAAACCCCTTTCTCCACAGGAGGCCTGGCCCTGGTGCTGCTGCTATTTGGGGTAGCACTGGGGCCCTATGGCAGCCTGGAGGGAGCAGAGCCCGGAACACTGGCAAATGCTGAAGGCCCACAGTGCCCGGCCTCATGTACCTGCAGTCGTAACTATGAGGATGAGCTCCATGTCTTCTGTAGCACAAGGAACCTCACAAGGCTGCCTGATGGCATCCCGGAGGGCACCAGGGCCCTGTGGCTTGACGGCAACAACATCTCCTCCATCCCCCCGGCAGCCTTCCGGAATCTCTCAGGCCTTGACTTCCTCAACCTGCAGGGCAACCTGCTTGGAAGCCTGGAGCCTCAGGCACTGCTGGGCCTGCAGAACTTGTACCACCTGCACCTGGAGCAGAACCAGCTACGGAGCCTGGTGGCTGGCTCGCTTGCGCATACACCAGGCCTTGCTTCACTAAGCCTCAGCAGCAACCTGCTGGGCAGGCTGGAGGAGAGCATTTTTCGAGGCCTCAGCCACCTCTGGATTCTCAACCTCAGCTGGAACAGCTTGGTGGTGCTGCCTGACACTGTGTTCCAGGGCCTGGACAACCTCCGGGAGCTGGTGCTGGCAGGTAACAAGTTGGCCTACCTGCAGCCGGCGCTCTTCTGTGGCCTGAGTGAGTTGCGGGAGCTGGACCTCAGCAGGAACCTGCTGCGAAGCGTCAAGGCCAATGTCTTCGTGCAGCTGCCCCGACTCCAAAAGCTTTACCTGGACCGCAACCTCATCACGGCTGTGGCCTCTGGCTCCTTCCTGGGTATGAAGGCACTGCGCTGGCTGGACCTGTCCCACAACCGCATGACTAGCCTCCTGGAGGACACCTTCCCAGGACTGCTGGGCCTGCGTGTCCTGCGCCTGGCACACAATACCATTACTAGCCTGAGGCCCTATACTTTCAAGGACCTGCACTTCCTGGAGGAGCTGCAGCTTGGTCACAACCGAATTCGGCAGCTGGTGGAGAAGACATTTGAGGGCCTCGGGCAGCTGGAGGTGCTTAAGCTCAATGACAACCAGATCCATGAGATCAAGGTAGGTGCTTTCCTTGGCCTCTCCAATGTGGCTGTCATGAACCTCTCCGGCAACTGTCTCCAGAGCCTCCCTGAGCAGGTGTTCCAAGGCCTAGGCAAGCTGCACAGTTTGCACCTGGAGGGCAGCTGCTTGGGCCACATCCGCCTATATACCTTTGCTGGCCTCTCAGGACTGCGCCGGCTTTTCCTCAAAGACAACAGCATTTCCAGCATTGAGGAGCAGAGCCTGGGTGGGCTGCCTGAGCTCCTGGAGCTGGATCTCACCTCCAACCAGCTCACACACCTGCCTCACAGGCTCTTCCAAGGTCTAGGCCAGTTGGAGTACCTGCTCCTTGCTCACAACCAGCTGTCGGCACTTTCCTCGGACATCCTGGGTCCCCTGCAGCAGGTATTTTGGCTGGACCTCTCGCACAACCGCTTGGAGGTGCTGGCCGAGGGCCTCTTCTCACCACTGGGGAAGCTGCGCTACCTCAACCTCAGGAACAACTCCTTACAGACCTTTGTGCCACCTCTTGCCAACCTGGAGCGCCTATGGCTTAAGGGCAACCCATGGGATTGCCATTGTCCCTTGAAGGCACTGTGGGACTTTGTCCTGCAGAGGCCCAGCATTGTGCCCCGCTTTGTGCAGGCTGTGTGTGAGGGAGACGATTGCCAGCCTGTATACACTTACAACAATATCACCTGTACCAGCCCTGCCAGCGTCTCAGGCCTTGACTTGCGGGATATTAGTGAAGCCCATTTTGTACACTGTTGACCCAGGTCTGCTGCCCCTAGTGCTCCTGCTAGGCTGGCTCTGGCCTTTAGGATGGGTCTTTGCTGTCACCAGGGGCCTGGTGGGCTTGCTGCCCCTAGCTATGGGGACCAGCCCTGGGCTGTTTGTTCACTTCCTGGGGGAGAGTCCCGGCAGGTGAGTGACCCAGGCTCAGGAGAGGTGGGCATGAGTGGGTGCCCACAAGCCTCAATAGTAGGGTGGAGACACAGCAGCCCTTTCCAGCTGTCCACAATTAAAAGCTAACAGTGTGTGACCTTGAGAATTAAGCTGATGGAAGGTGAGGCAATATCACCTGTGTTCTCTTTTGTTTTACCCATGATTACTTCCTGTGCTGTCCTGGCTCTGATCCCAGACCACCTGTCAGAGAGGCCTGGGAAGCCACCACCTCATGCTGTGCATGTCATTGCTTATCTCCTCCCAGGCCTCACAGCTGACCCTCAAGGTACTGTGGGGACTTATTCAGTGCCTCCTGAGACCTTGGCATCATGTCTCTCCTCTTCAAGTGCTGCATAGGGACCAGACAGTGTTTTCTCAGTGGCAGCGGTCAGGGCCTGTGCCATCCCGATGCTGCCCACTGCTGGCAGACTGGTGTTGGGATCAGACATCAAACACAGTAGTGCTGCCAGCAAGCCAGTGGGAGCAGACTAGGGCACAGCCCACCACTCCCCACAGGCTACAGAAAACGCTGTCTGTGCAGCCTCTGGGTCCTAGCTCAGGCATCCTTTGGAGGCTTTAGAAGGGCCATTCCATGGTTCTGTTTTCTGGATTACATTTCCTCCCTGGCCCACCAGGAAACGCAAGGAAAGCACGCTCAGGGTGCTTGGTTTGCTTAAATTTGACTCCTTGGTCTGAGGCTTTGGCTTGGGCCTCCTCTGGTGTGCCTGCAGAGGGCAGTTCTAGCAACACCAAGAATGGCCACATACAGGTTTGTAGTATGAGGTTTCTTCAAAATATTGTCAAGCACCTCCAGATGAGATGGAGAAACATTCGTAGCCATCAGGGCCCTGGAACAGTGAAACTTAACAGTGGATGGTCGAGCTGTGGAATGTTTACAAGCAAATGCTGTCATCACTAGGAACAGATCTGAAACATCAGACTCATGATCAAGGTGGTGGGAAACATTTAATGACAGCTTCTCTAGTTCCTAAGGCCAGTTCACCACGTTAAAGAATGCTGCCTTGGTGGCACAAGTATTCACAGGGCCCAGGCCAACAGATGGCAGCAGAAAGCCAATGCCAGCTTGGGAACAGTGTGGACAGCCAGCTGTTAGGAGCAGTTAGTCTGCTTGGGAAACTAGACTGGAGAAGAAGCCTGTGCGTTGTTGGCTAAGACCCCCCCACTATCTTAAGGTACCAGGCCCAACTAGGTGTGATGGTGATTTCCTATAATCCCAGCATTTGGGAGGCAAAGGCAAAAGGATTGTTATAAGTTTCAGGTCAGCCTGGGCTACATAGTGAGCTCAAGACCAACCTAAATTATTAGTGAGGCACTGTCTCAAAAAAACACAACAAAACACAAAACAAAAAAAGATATCACAAGACAGGCCAAATAGCTCAGCAGATTAAAGCTCCTGCTTAGGCAGATGCAGGGGCTGGGAGTTCTATCCCTGCCCCTGGGGTGTGCTGAGATGGTGATTGAGACAGGGCGTGGTGGCGCATGCCTGTAATCCCAGCACTTGGGAGGCTGTAAACAGGCATATCACTGTGAGTCCGATCTACGCAGTGAGACCCTGTAGACCCTATCCTAAAATATTAAAAAAAAAAAAAAAAAAAAAACCAGGCCCGAGCTGTCCTTCAGCCACAGGCCAGCCACATGGAACTACTGTCATCGTGCACCACTTGTGAAAAAGCCCCTCTGAGGAGAGGGCCAGGCAGGCGACACTCATACAACAATGGTGCCTGACCAGGGCTGTAGGTCCCAGATGCACCTAGGATCTCTGCTGTGGAAAGTCCTGGAGACTATCTGTGGAGCCCCTTGTGAAGGGGCTGTCAGGACAGCGTGGCAGGCAAACCATCCAAAATTTTCCGAGCTATGGAAGTGAGTGCAGGAAATGCAGGGCTCTTGGGGAACTCCTGGGTGAGGTCGTGGCCCTCCTCCAAGCTCCTGGTGAGCTCAGGGTCCAGGGGCACAGAGCCTGAAAACAGAAAAGAGCCCGGGAGGAGAAGGTGGCACCATGAGGCTCCCTGTCCAAGCACCACTTGATGCCACAGCTTATTACTACTGTTTTCTATCAGGCTGACTCCTGCCTCTCCTGATCACCCACTTGAAAGACAAGGGGTGGGGACCAAAATGCCCCCAGAGAAGATCCCAGAACACCAGCTGGTTGCTGGGCAGCATCCTGTCTTCTGCTCTTCTGGGGTCTTTGTGAGCATCAGCCACCCACACTGCTGCTAACTAGGGGGCTTGGTTGATGGCAACAATTCACACTGGTGGCATAGTTCCCCATTCTTACATGGGTACAGAAGGATTCACCCAGAGCAGAGGCAGGATGGGGAGCTGAGACCCCAGTGAGATGCCCATGAGCCTACTTTCCGCACTCACCTAAGAAGGGGACTCCGGCGAGTCGAGCCAGCTCCTCCCCGCCGCCCCTTGAGAAGACGTAGGTGCACTCCTAGGAGACAGGGGTTGTGAGGGCCCGGCTCATCATGTGACTGGTCTGAAAACCCTGTCTGATCTGGTTTGGACCTGGGCTTTCAACCTTGTCACAGCCCCAGCAGTTTCCCAGAACTCACCGCACAGTGTGGGCAAGCAAAGCCACTCATGTTCTCTACAACTCCCACCACTTGTAGCCCTGTCTTCTTACAGAAGGTCAGCTCTCGTCTCACATCCCCCACAGACACCGCCTAGACAGCAAGAGACAGGGCTGGGCTAGTCAGCTGCAAACTAAGCCAAGCACTACATAATGAATAGGGAGAATTGGAGTCCAGTGGAGAGACTACACATGCAGGGGACGGGTTGCAGTTGTGTGTGATACCTGTGGGGTGGTAACCACGAGGGCTCTCAAGGGCCTGTAGGGTCGCAGTGCTTCCACCACAGCCATGTGCTCATCGGAAGTCCCTGGGGGTGTGTCCACCACCAAGCAGTCCAGCTCCCCCCAGGCCACGTCGGACACAAACTGTTTTATCAGTGCTGCAAAGACCCAAGAAAGAGGCAAGTTGATCTGTGCTATGTGGACCAGCAGCCTGAAAAAAGGCACCTTACTGAGGAGGCACCTCACCAGCCTGGCGGCCCAAGGCCATTTGCAGCACAAGGCTGAAGTGAGGGCCCTGCTGGGGGTTCCTGCTAAGGACAAGAGAACAGAACACGGTGAGGAGGTGGAGCCTCTCCCTGCCCCCACAAGTACCACTTTGTCCCCTGTGGTTGTACTGCCCCCCAGCATTCAGCCCTGTCTCCACAAGCCCATGCTGCAATGATTGGCAGCTGACTCCCACTAAGGCCCCAGCCCAGGAGGGAGCCACAACCTCCTGGGGTGTCTGCACTAAGCTCTCAAAATTGTGTGAGGGCCTGGAGTGAAAGAAAAGTCTTGCAGGTGTATCCAAAGCCTGCCCTGTACTTGTCTGCCTTATACTTGCTCTTATCCCAGCATCCTTTCACTGCAATTAGGACAGTTTATTGTCACCTGCTGCTCCAGAGAACCAGAGCTAGACCTCACAAATCCCCCACAGCCATTTGAGAGGAGGGAGAGGACCTTTTTTTCTCAGTACTGGGGACAGAATCCAGGGCCTTCACGCTGAGCTCCATCTCCAACTTTTTTATTTTACCTTGAGGAAGGGCTTTCCAAAGTTGCCTACACTAGGCTCCCAGAATGCTGGGAGTACGGGTCTGTGCCACAGCACCTGGCCTCTTCAAACCTTTTTAATTCTGAGCTCTGAGAAGTCAGATGGAAGAGGCTGGAAGGCCACCTGTGCCTGATCACTTGCAGGGTCATTACCATTCTTCTTGGGACCTCTCCACACCACTGCCTCATCTGGATTCTCAAGCAGGAAGCCTACGGACATTAGGGAGATGCTCTGCTCCCGATCCACAAACACAGGCACCCAGCCACGGTCACACTGGTGAACTGCCTTGCCCTGTGCTCGGAGCATGCGCGGGATGCTGGGGCCACACAGGTCTACATCTAGGATCCCCACCTGCAGAAGGCCAGATGGCAAAAGTTTAGCAATGACCCGGTGCAGGGGTCAGGCAGTTGGCACTAAGCCACAGTGCTCAGGGAGGGGCCTCACCTTTTTGCCCTCATGGTGCAGCGCCAGGGCCAGTTCAGTAGAGATAGTACTCTTCCCCACACCTCCCTTTCCTGAAAGAACAAGGATGATGTGCCGCACACCAGCCAGGTTCTCAGGTTCTGGTGAAAAGCAGAAGTTAGGAAGTTGGTTGTTTTTAGGGACTTCAGGCCCTCCCTGCTCATTTTCTTGACCAGTGTCACAAAACACCGCCCCTGTACCAAAGTCTGAGGACAAAAGCTAATGGGACACTCATTCCTTCTGCTGTGTATAAGCAAAAACTCTCAGGCAGACGTAAAGTCTTCTTTAAAGCTCCAGACTGACCCACTCCCTCATCTGTCTGAAGTGGAGCCATTGAAGGTAAAAATATCTTCAACTACTCTTCCAAGCAAAAGTGTCCCTAGGCCTATAGGTGTGGGGGGAGGCTGATGGCCTTAAGACCCGGCGCTATCAAAATCACGCTGGCCCGTCTCCGCACCACCTGGATGGCTCGAGGTCGCGCTCGCGTGAGCCCTACGGCGTGCTCAGGTCCAGGAGTGGGCCGCGGCGTGCCCAAGAGGCACTTGCGTTTCGCATTGGCCACCCCCTCCGTAGGCAGCAGGCCGGCCGCACCGACCCTGCCAGGCCCGTACAGATCCCGCCGCTCCCGCACACCCGCCCCGGGCCGCAGACTGTCCGAGAGCGACACCTTCCCGGATCCGCAAGCTCACCGGCAGCCGTCTCCATCCCTCCGCCACTTGAGCTGGCGGTTCCTTCCGCCAGCCAGCGTACCTACAGACTCCAGCAAGAGGGAAGAGCCCGCCCCTGGCTTCCTTTGACGCTCCCCCAAGCCAATCAAGTAGTCCGGGGGCTTGTCAAACTGCGCCCTAAGGTTCCGGGGAAAGGGCGTAGCTGTGCAAGAACTCGCGCCCGCGTCCAATGGGAGTGCGGGGGTCGCCTTCAACTGTCACCAATGGGGAGCTCGGAACAAGACTGACAGATCTTGCAGCCTTTCAATAGCAGCCGTGTCCATCGAAACCCGCCTCTACGGGAAGTCCGGACAAGGCGTGCCCGCCTCCGGCCTCCGGGCCAATGCGGCGTGGGGGCGGGGATTGTTTACGTCTGGGGCGGAGCGGAAAGTGGGTCACGACCCGCGGACCCCAGCGGCGGCGGCTGCAGGTGAACGGCGCTTGACCTGGGTCGGCTGGCGGGCGCAGCGCTGACCTTGCGGAGAAGGAGGCCAGCCTCTCTTTGTCCTGCGGGGCCGGCGGCGGGAGGCCGGGCTGCGGCCGAGGGGTCGGGCATCACCTGCAGCATTCCCGGAAGCCGAGGTCGGTGAAAAGCAGCCTTGGGCCCTGCGGGTGGGCGAGGGCTGCCGGCCTAGGCCTGGGGCAGCTCGCCGGGTTGTTCACTCAGCGCGGCCAACGAGGGGCAGCCAAGGCCTGAAACGGGTCTGCAGGGTTCGGGAGGCATTCGGGCAAAAGGCAGGACAGCACCGGCTAGAGGACCGAGACATCCGACTTGGGAGATGAAGAGCTAGAATCAGCCTTTGCATCTTAGCAGGAAACAGTGGCAAGCTTTTGAACAGATCTTAAATTGTTTTGAAAAAGAGAGCTTGGCTGTGGGGTGGGAGGCGGGAGGATTCGAGCTTCTGGAGGAGTTGTGCGGTTCGAGAGATGGTGTTTGGGCCCCAGCGAGAGCGAGGATGGTCGCAGGTGTGGCGGGAAGAAAGAGGACGAGTCAGGGATGACTGCGGTGCTTCTGGCATGAGGAACTGGAGGCTGGAGATGCCATTTGTCAAACTGGACAGCGGAGGAGGAGCGAATCGGGTGTGAGATGCCCAAGGGGCAACTGGGCTCCAGAGTGGAACTCCAAGGTGGGCCGAATGGTGTCTTCCAGTCATGGGCGTTTGGGTGGTGGTTTACACCATCTCCTTCGGTTTGATCAAGGTGCTCAGATACTGGAGCCAGGTACGGACTTATGAAGAGTTCCGGAGCCCCAGCTCAACATCCAGTGCCATGAAGCCCCCACCCTTGGATGGGTCTGTGGGCCAACCTGCCAAGTGGGGGCCAAGTTCCGAGGGCAGAGCATTGGGATGGGGTCTAGAGGACACGTTCCTGTGAGCTGTGTGTCCACCTGGCTCAGGGCCTGTTTTCCTCCAGGTCCTCTTCACCATGGCCCGGCGACCCCGGAGCAGCAGGGCATGGCATTTTGTCCTCAGTGCAGCCCGCCGAGATGCAGATGCCAGGGCTGTGAGCTCAGCAGGCACCCCTAACTGGGGCTACGACTCTGATGGACAGGTAGGTCCCAGTAGCAAGGTGGGCACGGCTGGCTTAAGCACAGGGAATGAAAGAGAGAAATGTTCCTGAGTCCTGGATGTGCCATGTCCAGCCAGGCTTTAATCTAGCAAAGGTCATATGGTTTGTGGGTAGCAGGACTTTAAGACAAATATGGGGTGTCTGTCTTATCTGTCCGTCTTGTCTTTTCTTAAGTTTTTAAAAAATCTTTTATATATTTATTTGTTATAGGGTCTTGCTACGCAGCTTGGACTGGTAGTGATTCTCCTGTCTCAGCCTCCACAGCGCTGAGATTACAGGCGTGCAGTACCTAGGATGGAACCCAGGTCCTTGTGCTTGCCAGGCAGGCGCCCAGACTGCCAAGCTATCTCCCCACTCCTTTTTTTCTTTCTGAGACAGGGTTTTGCTGTGTAGTTCAGGCTGGCCTTGAACTCTTAGTCCAGAATGGCCTTAAACTCACAGTGATCCTCCTGCCTCAGCGTCGTGAAGGTTGGGATTACATGTATGTGCCACGGCGTCTGGCTAAGCCTGGGTCCTTTCCCATTCTCTTCTGAGATGATTCTGGTATGGGATAAGTTGACTGCTGTCCTCTGGTTAGTTTGTCCAACAGAAATGTTCTGTGTTGTCTGTTCAGCCATTTTCCAGAGATCACTGTTGTTGAGTTGCTGTATGTGTCTTTCCAGGTATTTTCTGCAGTGCAAATGTGTTCTTTGTATTGTTACACATGTGTAAAAGGGGACTGATTTTTTTTTTTTTTTTTTTTTTTTTT